CCCCGCGCGCAGAGAGAACGCGCTCGCTCTCTCTGTCTCTCTCTCTCTCTCTCCTTCTCTCTGTCTCTCTGCTCTCTCTCTCTCTCTTCCTCCTCATCTCTCTCTCTCTTCTCCTCTCTACTCTCTCTCTCTTCTCACTCTCTCTTCTCCTCTTCTCTTCTCTTCTCTCTCTCTCTCTCTCTCTCTCTCTCTCTTCTCTCTTCTCTCTTTCTCTGCCTCTCTCTCTATTACTCTTTCTCTCTTTCTCTCTCTCTCTACTCTCTTCTCTAAATCTCTCTCTTCTCTGATTCTCTCTTTCGTCTTTCTGTCGCTCTATCTCTCTTTGGCCTCTTTCTCTCTCTCTTTGTCTTCTTTGTCTCTCTCTCATCTTATTTATTACATCCCTCTCTCTCTCTCTCTTCCTCTCTCTCCTCGCTCTCTCTCTCTCCCTTCTTTCTCTCTAGAGCAGTCTCTCTCTCTCTCTCTCTTCCTTCTCTCTCTGCTTCTCTCTTCTCTGCCTCCCTCTCGTCTCTCCTCTCTCTTCTCTCTCTCTCTCTCTTCTCTTCTCTCTCCTCTCTCTCTCTCTTCTCTCTCTCCTCTCTTCTCTCTCTCTCTCTCGTCTCTCTCTTCTCTCTCTCTCCTCTCTCTCTCTTCTCTCTCTCTCTCTTTATCTCTTTCTCTTCTCTCTTCTCTCTTCTCTCTCTCTCTTTCTTACTCGCCTCTCCTCTCTCTCTCTCTCTCTTTCGTTCTCTCTCTCTCTCTCTTCTCTCTCTCTCTCTCTCTCTGTCTCTCTTTCTGTCTCGGCTTCTGTCGCTTCTCTCTTCTTCTGCCTCTCATTTCTCTCTCTCTCTCTTCTCCTCTCTGTCATCTCTCTCTCTCTCTCTTCCCCTCTTCTCTCTCTCGCTCTCTTTCTCTCTCTCTCTCTTTCCCTCTCTCTCTCTCATTCTCTCTCTCTCCCCCCTCCTCTCTCTCTCTCTCTCTCTCTCTTCTCTCTCTCTCTCTCTCTCTCTCTCTCTCTCTCTCTCTTCTCCTCTCTCTCATTAGACAATAGTCGAGGACCGATGCAGCAGCTCTCTCTCCCCCTCTCTCCTCCATGGATGGGGGAGGGAGGGCGGCGTCTCGTGGGCATGGGGAGGGATTGCGGAAGCTGAATTCAACTTATTATCTATATTATATATACGATAAATAATGACATCGAAAAAATGCCGCTCTTTAATGCTCAAACGGTGCTTAATGAGCGTTCGAAGGCGAGTGCGATCGCGAGCGAGCAGGCATAGAGAGGTTAGGGCGATGGGAGAGAAGTAACGAGAAGCAAGAGAGAGTCACGGAAAAGAAAAACTGAGAGCGCGAGAGAAAAGGAACGTGAAGGAGAAGGAGGAGGAGGAGAGTAGGAAGGAGAAGGAGAGGTGGGAGATAGAGA